TAAATTGATATAATATGCACTATACTATCGGTAAACAGACATTACCTTACTTAAGTTACATAATATCTTCTCTCGATCGATCGATTGATCTGTAAAAATACATCTCATAAAAAACACTAAAGAAATAAGGATTGAAATGATTCGAAAGTTGAATAAATATACTATACATATATATATTAGACATCTTTCTCATTTGTTTGATTTGTAATTTGATATGAAGAAAAACTAAGAGAAAAAAAATAGGTGTCAAATTCATGTATATTCTAGATGATTATCGTGTCTCAAGTGTAAATAGAATAAACTATAAATATATTGATCGATAACTGTCTGTTCGTTTTGTTATCATCATGGAATCAGTATTAGTAGATTTTACAAATCGAAGAAAAGAATAATATCAGAAACAAAAGAAATGAAAATTGGTTTATTTGAATATGATCATCTAGAAGACTACACTTAAAAAATGATCAACTTTTCACTCAGTACAATCTATACTTAATCATCTAACGGAAATCAGAGGCAAATTCAGTTTTATCTATTTATTAATTCTTTAGTGAAGATTGAGAATAAATATTTTCTCGTAATAACAATGTGAAAATTTATCGTTTGTTCAAATATTTGAGTAATGTATCGTTTTATGAAAAATAAAAAAAGACAAAATTTGCATTGTCATCATTATTATGCATTTTTCTTCGTGACTTTTAGTTGCTTGTGCATGGATGACAAAGCGAAGAAAAACAGCAAATAGAATAAGTGTATAAATTCTTTTCTTTATACATAACTCGTTCTTTTTTTTCTTCTTCTTCTCTTTGATAACTTCATCTACATTAAAAAAAAGAAAATCTTCATGTCAACATACAAACTTTATTATTTTAATGCTCGTGGTCGTGCTGAAGTATCCCGGTTAATATTTGCTGCTGTTGGTCAAAGATATGAAGATATTCGTTATGAATATAACGAATGGGTATCACATGCAAATGAAATGCCTTTAGGTGAAGTACCTGTTCTGGAATTTAATGGAAAGAAACTGCCACAATCATTTGCTATTGCTAGTTTTCTTGCTAAACAATTTCAGTTGGCTGGTAGAGATAATTTTGAACAAGCACAAGTTAATGCTGTTGTTGAAACAATTAGAGATTTAATAACAATATATATATCAGTTCGTTGGGAACAAGATCAAATAAAAAAGGAAGAACCAATGAGAAAATTTCTTGACGAAGAATTACCAGAACTTTTACATAATATTGAAGTTTTAGCGAAAGAATATAGTAATCATGGTCCCTTTTTCGTTGGAAATCAGTTAACATGGACAGATTTACTTTTTTATAATACAGGAGCTCTGGCGGGCCGGACACCGCTCTTTTGGCGCCACCTGAGCTGGTAACCGTGTGGCAATTGCCACACGGTTACCAGCTCATATAGCGCCACTTGGCCCGCTAATGTACAGGAGAAAATATCCTTGAATTGGATCAAAATTGTTTGGACAATTATCCATGGTTAAAACAAAATCGTGTAGAAGTCGAAAGACAACCAAGAATTAAAGAATATCTCAGAAATCGACCCAAAACATTATTTTAAAGGACACAACTAATCAATGAATACTCATATATTTAATTTTTTTTTGTTTTGAACTTTGACATTATTTTAATAAACTATTGAAACTTTCTTTCTTTATATTATTGTCTCTTGAAATAGTTCGAAATGAATGAAAATAATCATTTTCTCATTTCATCCATTGATTGAATAATAGTACATTATCACATTAAGTATGATCACTTTTAAAAAATAACGAATCGTGCAAATTAAATGGGATAAAATCATAATCGATTTGTGTAACACTCCCAAGCTGATCTTGAAAAGGTTCCGATGAGCAATCGAAACCTGATGTCCAATTCCAGGTTTTTTTTCCGATCACTCGACAACCATCGAAATTTCGACTATTCGAAGAAAAGAAATTCAATCTAAAGATATTTTCGATTACTCGTTATGAATTCGATTAATCGAAGCTCATTAAAATATCAAGCGTTTGATGAGAGAAATTTTTGAAAAAACAATTCTTTTGATTGGTAAAACTTTTTCGAAATTTGACTTTCAACTCATCTTGTTGGGAGTCTATGGGTTTTTTTATTTCAAATTGAATTTTGAAAAAAAAAA